TCTAGAGGATCCCCGCTATGACAACTAACTGCAGATACCCAGCAAGCTTACTCGTGATACATGAGATTAATAGCTAATAATAAGCCACCCTAATCATGAATATGATTAATGCCCTACCCCAAATCTGCCCATGCTACTTACCAGAAGATCCAATCCCTGGGGAAGCCTAGGGCCAGCAGTAGGAAAGCACCCAGTCTGAGAGTGCTGATACTGCGGTTGGAGGAGGTAGGAAGGCTGTGGTTAGACTGCTGACACAGCTGCGGATAGTGAAATGAACCGCAGCTACACCAGATGCTGGTCTCCCGGCAGAGGAAGACGGCCTTAGAGGCAGCACGGACCATTGGGAGCAATAGAAACGGCAGCAGTGTAGGGCAGTAGTGCATGATGAGAGCTGAGCTGGCTAGAAATGGCGAGCATCAGATCCCGCAGCTCGTCCAGTGACCGTGGCGCTGAATTGCCACTCTGGGATACCGAGGAGGGCTCCTGATTGTCTGGGATAGACTCAAAGCCAACTCCATTAGGAACAGAAAGCTCAGGAGGTGAACGAGAGATTGAAGGGAGAGACAAGCAAAACAAAATTACACAGCCAAGAACCAAAACTTGGCCACTCGAGCACTCAAATCAACACAACTGACCACGAGGATAACCACGCGAATGTCAAGGAGTGGCCTCCGCCTTATCATTAACTGACTTTAAACGCAAGCCTTTAAAGACTATTTAAAGTTATATTGTCCAGTACCACCAGGAATATATTATATCAAATTGACTGATATAGTACCAAAGCTTTTTTGGCCAGTGAGTAACAGATACAGTGTATCATTATTACTATTCTGTTTCATAGGGTAGGTATTATGGCAAAGCTACTACATACAATGAGGAAGGAGAGGAAATGATGTGTCAAAAGACAGAACTTACTATTAACTAAACTGCATGTATCTAATATGACTTACATGTAAATACAACATTTTTAATAATTATCATTAAATTACAATGCAATGCTAAAATAAATAGATTGAAAACAAGCAAAAGCTATGTTACAGTGTCAAGCCAATAACCTATAATACACATATTTACATATTTAGAATCTACAGTGAAACAAACTCGTTTGCTTGTGCCAATACTACAACTGTCCTCGAAGACAAAGGCCAATTTTGAGAACATAAGACAATCAGCTGCTTTAACTTCCAGACTAGTAGAATACATACTGTTACTTCTATCAATTGTATTAGTACAGTAGTATCTACATGTACATTGACTGAAAATCAAACATTCATGACCAGTTGGAGTGTGATATGTTAAATCACTAAGCACAATCAAATAATAATACTAGTGTAATAAGAGCCAGTACATCATAATGAAAGGTAAACTCATCAAAGAAACTTTGAGTTAGCAAATAGACTAAAACAGAAGGTTACAGTGAGGCACCAGTAGCACAGTCGAAGAGAAGATGGGTAGACTAGTAGAGTATATACTGTTACTTCTATCAGTTGTACTAGTAGTATCTACATTGACTGGATCTACTAACAATTACTACAATGGTAAGATACTGACTACTATACTAATGGATAATATACTTGTTTTAATTATACATACTGTCAACAACAAGAACCTACTGGAAATGAAGGATTCACAGATTGTTGTAAGTTCAGTAATACACTATTGATTTATTCTATTAATTTTAAGCTCTTACTAAGAAATTTGCCCAATTCTTTAATGTATCATTAACTTCATATACATTGAAAAGAGGAGATAGCATTCACTGGAATGCAGATCTACAGATTAGTAAGTAACAATAATTGTGTCAATAAATATGAACCCATTTATAGAGAGGACTATAAAATGGGGTATACTGCATTTCACAATGACACACAAATTCAAGAATTATACTAATATTACTTTTCTTGATGATAAATTTAATTTATGCGATTTCTTTGTGGATTTAATCAATAAACACTGCCCAATACAACCAGGAATGTATCATTTAAATTACAGTGCCCAAATCCCCAACCTCTTATGGCCAGTGAGTAACAGATACAGTGCATATCATTATTACAATTTTATTTCACAGGGTAGGTATTATGCCAAAGGTACTGTGTACAATAAAAAAGGAGAGGAAATGATGTGTCAAATGACAGAATTAACCATCAAATAACTGTGATATTAATTATCATCAATGACTTTACATTAGTGCAAGTATAATCTGAAGTTTTAATGTCTTTCTTAGCAATTTGCCAGAGTAATCATTAAAATTATTAGAGGGCCTTAATACATTTGTTACATCATTTACAACAAATTGCTTAATATAGAAGCCAACATGAACCATAAGACATCACTATACAAGAAGCTTACAAAATAAGTCTTGATTGACACTAAAAGCCAAATCAATGAACAGTGCAAATATAAAACAAAAATGTACACTGAAATACATAATTATACTAAATACTATACGAAGGCAATAAAATAGAAATAAAATAAGGAATGACTCAGAATAGTTTGTTGATAATAAAGTATGATGCTTATTCATAGTCACTTGATTACTGTATATATGTTCCAATTTTCGAGTGTTTTTAATGAAATGTGCTCAAAAGTTAATATTTGTGTGAGCTAATTTTTGTGTTCTGGCCATAGTCCACATACAATAGAATGGCATTGGAGGTGGTTTAAAATTTGTGGATTTAAGGTGAGCACGAAAATAATGAAATTTAATACATCTCAAAAAATTAAGACGCGTACAGTAGCTAAAAAATAATCATTACTCTATAAACATAGGATTCCTTCCTTCCTAAGTTGCAAAAATAAAATCCACAAAAATCATTTTAATATGGTACACACATGGCACGTGGCAAAATTCGTGAAATTAATATTACAAATTGGAAATTTAGTAGATTTTGCGAAATATAATTTCCTAAAAACTTATACGGTATAACATTGCCACTATAGTTATACTAAAAGTAGCATAGCAAAATTACATGTAAGCCAACAAGTTACAAGTAGCGGTAACAAAAACATTACAAATGTAAACATGTTGATGCTTATATTTTTGATAGGCTTGTTTACATAAGCAACCTGTATAGTATAAGCATTAGTATTAACAAAAAGGAAAAAAAATGTATCAGAGGTATTAATAATTTAGTACAAATTGTCAAAAACTGAAAGTATTAAGATACAAATCAAATAATTAATAAACACAAAAGGTTAAACAAGTTATATTGTAGAAGTAGCGTATATTAATGAGCGTAGCTACAAGAAATCATAAATCAAGTCAAAGAGAAAGATGGGTAGACTAGTAGAGTATATACTGTTACTTCTATCAGTTGTACTAGTAGTATCTACATTGACTGGATCTACTAACAATTACTACAATGGTAAGATACTGACTACTATACTAATGGATAATATACCTGTTTCAATTATATATACTATCAACAACAAGAACCTACTGGTAATAAAGGAGTCACAGATTGTTGTAAGTTCATTAATACACTATTGATTTACTTTATTAATTTTAAGCTGCTACTAAGAAAATTTTTGAATTCTTTAATGCATCATTAACTTCATATACATTGAAAAGAGGAGACAGCATACAATTGCATGCAGATCTACAGATTAGTAAGTAACAATAACTGTGTCAATAAACATGAACCCATTTATAGAGAGGACCATACAAGGGGGTATACTGCATGTCACAATGACACAAAAATTCAAGAATTATACTAATATTACTTTTCTTGATGATAAATTTAATTTGTGTGATGTCCTTGTGGATTTAACCAATAAATACTGTCCAATACAACCAGGAATGTATCATTTATACGCTCAAGCCCAAATCCCCAACCTCTTTTGGCCAGTGAGTAACAGATACAGTGTATCATTATTACTATTCTATTTCATAGGGTAGGTATTATGCCAAAGCTACTGCATGCAATGAGGAAGGAGAGGAAATGGGATGTCTAATGACAGAAGTTACTATCAAATGACTGGAATATTAAATATACTTACTGACTTATTAATTTGAAGTTTGCAATGTCTTTTTTAGCATTTTGCCAGAATAAACATAAAAATTGTCAAAGGCCATAAATAAATGCATATATTATAGGTACCGTATATCGGGTATATTTCAATGCATTAATAATTTTGGAAGAAGCAATCCATTGCGAAAATAAACATTATGAAATTATAAAATATGCGGATAAAAAGAAAGAGAAGATATGTGGTATTGTGCAATCATTATGAACACGTGGCTTCATAACTATCCATGGCTTCTAGCTCGAAGGCCATAAAGAGCCTTTTTTGCCAGTTAGAAGTGTTGCTAAGGTTGATTCAGAAGTGGAGAAGTCAGCAAATGCTTCAATTTACTTACCAGGCCAGGTGGTTCATGGAAATAATAGCAAGTAAAATATTTTCGGAATATAAAGGGCTTCAGAAATTTTCCATCACTGAACTTTAAAATTACACCACTTTTCATGCATTGAAATATACCCGATATACGGTAAATTAGAATTTGTTAGTTGATGACAACCAAACACCAAAAACGTCCTTAACATAAAAGCCAACATGAACTATAAGACATTCACTATACAAGAAGCTTACAAAAAATAAGTCTCAATTGACACTATAAGCAATTAAAGAATATACTATTAAATTCGATGAACAGTGTAAATATAAAACAAAATTGCGCACCAAAAAAATACATATTAATACTAAATACTATATGAAGGCAATAAAATAGAATAAGGAACAACTGAGAATAGCACAAATGTCATTTGTTGATAATAATGTATGATGCTTATTTATACTCACTTAATTAGCTTAAAAATAATCATTACTCTATAAACAAAGCCTGATGTTACCGTGCGTATAGTCACAATGCATGCAAACAAAAATAAACAAAAACATTACACAATGCAAGATACACTACACACACAATTAAACACTAATGAGTATTGTGTATACCTACATATGTAATCAACAAAAAAACCTACTGATATAAATAATAAAGGATTCACAGATTTAATATACCAATAATCAGCAAGTGCGAAGGAGGTCCAAGGCAAGATACATTATACATGTACATATGTAGTTGGTCTTACTAAAATGACAAGACATGAAAGTTAGTGAAGAGGGTTTCCCATAAAGCATGCTAAGTGAGCTAAACAGCATGAGCTTCATAACCTGACAAGCACTACAATACAGTACATGGAATTTGGTAAAAATTCAAAAAATAGTTTTGATCAGAAAAAAATATAAAAATAGAGAATTCACTCCCAGACTGTACTATATACATGTATAGTACATGGACTTTGGCCCAATTTTTGAGTAACTGTAAAATTCGTAAGAAATCCATTTTTAGTCGGAATCAACTCAAACTTCCTACACAACATAAGAACATGTAAAAAAACCTGTGTGTAGTATATAGGATTTTGTCAATTATTTTAGAAACTGTGAAATTCATTGAGAGGAACCTGTAAGAGCACTATGCCAAAATCCTGTGGGAAACTGGCCCAGTTAGTGAAGGACACAATAGTTTTAAAGAGGACATTAAAGTGACTGTGCCCTTCCACACAGGCAGAATGAGAACACTGTCCCAAATGCCTATAGCATATGTAGCAAATAGCAAATATACACATGCATGTACTAAAAATAAAAAAAAACAAGACTTGCAAGTAATAAATGGGCTGTACCTCATCAATTTAATTGTATACAAATAAAGCAAATACTTTTCATTATTGTTATGATGATTTAGTGGTAGAATAATGTTTAGATGCACAATAATGATAACATATTCATCTAAAATAGCAAACTATTGAAAATATGTGTTGATCTATAAATACATGAATACATCGTCTCAGACTCATAACTGTAACTATTGAGGTCAAAGAGAAGATGGGTAGACTAGTAGAGTATATACTGTTACTTCTATCAGTTGTACTAGTAGTGTCTACATTAACTGAATCTACTAACAATTACTACAATGGTAAGATACTGACTACTATACTAATGGATAATATACCTGTTTCAATTATATATACTATCAACAACAAGAACCTACTGGTAATAAAGGAGTCACAGATTGTTGTAAGTTCATTAATACACTATTGATTTACTTTATTAATTTTAAGCTGCTACTAAGAAAATTTTTGAATTCTTTAATGCATCATTAACTTCATATACATTGAAAAAAGGAGACAGCATACAATTGCATGCAGATCTACAGATTAGTAAGTAACAATAACTGTGTCAATAAACATGAACCCATTTATAGAGAGGACCATACAAGGGGGTATACTGCATGTCACAATGACACAAAAATTCAAGAATTACGTTAATATTACTTTCATTGATGAAAAATTCAATTTATGCGACTTCTTTGTGGATTTAATGAATATACACTGTCCAATACAACCAGGAATGTATCATTTATACTACCATGCTCAAATCCCCAACCTCTTTTGGCCAGTGAGTAACAGATACAGTGTATCATTATTACTATTCTATTTCATAGGGTATGTATTATGCGAAAGCTACTGCACACAATGAGAAAGGAGAGGAAATGATGTGTCTAATGACAGAAATAAACTACATAGCTTAAGTAAAGAGTAAACTATTTTTCAACTGCTTTCTTAGCAAGCACAGAAATAATGGACATGTCAACACTTCATTTTTATTGTGTGTGCTTAGAATTATCACAAAATTTTTAATTACAACAATTAACAATATAAAATGCATCCACAAACAAACACAGTGTTTACCACTGAACCACAAAACATTCATAAAATTCAAGTTCAACTACAAGAAGCTTATGACAAACAAGTCTTGGCATCTATTTTCTATACACCCATGTACTATCCAATTAAAGTACATCAAAAAATAATCAAATGTATGCGTACATGTACATGTATTATCATAAAAATACTGTGTACGCTTTAAACAATTGTATATACTATAAAGGGAACTACCAACACAATAAGTTTATAAGTAGTACATGTGTATCTAAATGCTCTAAAACAATGCTACCTGCCATTAATATGATGATTATTCATTAAAATAACAGTTACTCAATGCATGCTAAACACAAATGGACATGTAAAAGAGAAAGAAGCAAGATAAACACTACCCACACATGCATGGGCTACTATATACTGCAGTACAGATGAACAAACTGTGTCATGACCAGACATGGTCAGTTATTGTAGTACCCAAAGGAACTCAAATCAGTTGGAACATACACCAATGGAGACTGACTGCACATGTATCAGAGACCTTGAAATTTTCCTACTAGTATAGGAGTGGTAAAGACTTCCAGCACAATTATAGTTTGTCACTGAATATTTCACAAGCAAAGAAGCATTCCACTCACACAAAAAGGTATGTTAATTGATATACATGTAATCATGCAGAGTGTCATGGGTAACCAATTCATGTCAACTTATTCAATCCATACACTTATCCTATATTGTCCAAGCTCATAATTGAGTCCATGTTCCATCAGTGCTAGTTTATTAGGAAGGCTCTTTTCTTTTCTGTCTCCATTCCTTGCAGCTATCAAGTTCCATTCTACTTTACTCAGTGCCGTAAACCTCTTCCATCAGGACAACTTGAGGAAAATTCAGTTGGGATTCTCTTTATTGTAATCTG